GCAACGAAAAATGTGGTGTAAAGATGTCACTCTCTTCGAAATACCAAACAAATTCCCCACACATAGCAGGTGTCACAACGCTTATTAGTGGTGCTGACCATCAAAATGAAGCATATTCAATATAAGCCAATTTCGTAATCGTCGGTACGCGTCACGACGAGGACGTCGATCACGAATTAATCGTCATTTCGATTGCTCGAAGAAACGAAAGAAAGATCGAGGGGATCAAGTAACAGAACGAACGATGACGAACCCGGCGATGACGACGCGACAATGATCGTCATCGCAAGGTGAGTCGGATATTTGTGCATCGTTTTGACCCGCGCCATGACCCGCTGATGATATTCTCCCGATGACACGATCGCCCCCCGGCAATACTTTTAATGCCGGCGCGGTGCGACGCAACGCGGGGGGATCCATTCGAGGACTCCACGATCTTGCCGAGAATTTTTCGTAAGAATCGGGTACATTGTAAGATCCTTCGACGTTTCCATTAAACGGTAAGCAACTTTCAGAGATAATTGCCTCGCAATACCGTCGTGCGAGAGATTTTTTACAACTTTTTCCTTAGTATGAGGGATCGACGAGTCGCCGCAAATAAAAACTTGCTCGAGCCTGGTTCGTAATAAACGGATGGAAAATATGGCGAGAATGACAGTGATTTTATTAATACTTTGTGCTAAAAGCTCGAAATGAGGTTGAAGGTGAACGGATAATTTTATTCGTTCGTTAATTACGAAATGAATAAATGGTGTTAATGACACGGGCAACGGATTAACGAGGAATTGAATCGAGTCTGGTGACATGAAAATTGCGAATGTCAATTAACGTGGATGGTAAAGGATAAGTACTACGATAGTATTTTTCTTATTCTGAGTAATGAATACTGTGCTTTTTAATGCGTGTCTTTAGTTAATTATACCTACGTATACCGAATATATAATTACTCGAAGAATAAATTGGTTACTCTTCAAACATTGTTGAAATGATTTGGGGTTTTATAGGTAAATATTTTTTTCGCGATTATTACAATAATGTCTAGTGTTATTCCAATACAACGTTTATTCCATAAGTGTCCCTTTTTTAAATTTCACGAGTCTAGAGGAACCATGAATACAGTAGATAGGTATATGTTAAAAGTACTAAAAAGAATTTACCAAAACAGTAACTTCAATGCCTTATGTACATTTAATATACGAAAATGTGGTAAATATTATTATGATTATAATAACGCTAATTTAATCATAAGTATAATAATATTTTCAACATTTCTTCTTGTTAAATTTACATAATAAATAGAAGATTTATCTTTTATTATAATAATAAGAAAGTACTGTGACAATAACTTCAAAAAAATTATTTGTACCGACAAATTACGATATCACACACAATGAAATTAAATATGACATTTAATATTCGTATTGTTTACATTCCAAATAAACACTACGAAATTTGCTACACGTTGCTCATACGACGTTGTAGCCATATGTTTTTCTACACATGCTTGGCCGCTAATGTAGTTCATTACCAACAGATTTTAGCACTTATTTCACGAGATATTACGAGTGGCAACAATACGTGCTAGGGTATTAGATTTCCTTACTTTATACTTCATGCAATGAAGACGATCATTATTATTATTAACGATTCTACTTGTTTCCCTCTACCGTAGAAATCATTTGATAAGTCAGGAATAGAGTAAGTGTGGTTATTACTGCGGATGCCTCGATTACTGCGGAGATTTATGAAACAAATAATATTTAATGTTGAAAAGTACATAAGCTCTTGAAGATTAATGATAAAATTACTTTAAACTTCATTACAAATAATTATTGGTAAATATCTACAGCAAAGTTGTAATTAATTCTTTTATCGTAGTTTGAAAGTCGTTAAGCTTTGATCGATTTCCCAAAATGACGGTTCCGAATGCCTATTTAAAACACATTTATATGTTTGTTATCAACAGTAATACATATAATGTAGCATTATTACTCCATAGAGTAAGTTCTTTTTGCAAAAAGACAGTAGATTATTCATCTACAGTGTATTTTTAATTTTTATTTCTTACCGCAGTATTAAATACAATACTTTACACCACCTGTGTTTATTACTGCGGACATGCATGGATTACTGTGTGCCAGTTACTAACGAAATACCGATTACTGCGCGTATATTACTGCCGACTTGTGTTAAGAAAAATATTAGTATAAATACCTACCTATATCTTGTAAATAGCAAAATTAATTATGTTAGGTAACTGCGTAACCTAACCTATTTTCGACCGCATTTACTAATTTAAAAAATAAAGCTACAGAATTAATGTTGTTGAAAAAAAAATCAGAATAAAAAAATGTTGAGTTTCTTTTGAAAAGTTTATTATTTTTTTTATTATTACTGTTTATATTGTAATAAGGCTTAATATAATACTATAAATATATAATAAATGAATACTTTCTGTCTTGTATATTATGTCACATCCTTCTTACATATAAATCATTTTTCTATTTACAAGATATAGGTAGGTATTTATACTAATATTATACTTAACACAAGTCGGCAGTAATATACGCGCAGTAATCGGTATTTCTTTAGTAATTGGCACACAGTAATCCATGCATGTCCGCAGTAATTCCTGCAGTGAGATGTGGCATTAATTTCTTTGATTTCTATTATATCCGTCTATTAAGTATCCTGTTCTCATTTTATTATGGAATTAATATCAGCAAACTTACCTAAAAACAAGAAACAGGGACTTTCATTAATTTGAACGTTTTATCGAGCACTTTAAAGTTAACCTATCCTGAAAAACCGCAGTAATACCCACACTTACCTTACCTTCTGCCAGCCTGTCCCGTGAATTTGGCAGATTCTCGGGATAAGAAGAGACGAAGAAGACGAAGAAGAGGAAGAGAACAGGCACGCGGAGGCGAGTTCTACGATATTCAGCTCGATCGATTCGCATCGCCCCACCTTCATTTTTATTCGGCCTTTGGTACAGAGGACTTGAGATACGCACCAGAGAGCCACGACCTCCTCCGCCGTTATTTATCACCGATTATTTCACGCGTTTTACTTTTTTCCGCCGGAACGAGGCATTATTTCGGACTGCGTTACCCACCTCTCGCTTGGGATAATCGACGACCTTCGGTCGAAAGAAGTACCCGTCGAGACCGGGGGTCAACCGGTTTATTCGAACAACTTTTCGAACGACTGTGCAGAATTATTTAATCTCTTCCTTGTACTCCTCGCCGCGTTACGAGAGAATAACGTATTGATCCTTTGTGTGTCGCGGTTAATTAACCCCTCGCGTCATCGGGACGATATGTTATAAAACACCTCTTCCTTGGACGGGTATAAAGTAGCATTTTTATTTCTAACGACAAACTTTTCCTAATACTCAATTTTATGATCTCTTTCGTTACTAATTAATAAATTTATCCATGAAATGTTGAAATTTGTGCCAAGTAATAATAAACCAACATCTGTAGACAAATTTTAATTCCATTGCAGAAGTGGGATATTATACCGAGTGGTCCACCTAACTTTATCACCCGGAATATCTTGCTTGTTCTTGATAATATTACAAATTGTTTCACATACAAGTTGAATGGTTTCGAGGGGGAGGGGGGAGGGGCGCACAATTTGACATGATTAGTTTTTTCTTTGGTGAATGCATAGACATATGAAGGTCACCGAAGTTTTTTTAACAAATGGAATCATATATTTTCTAATACATTGTCCGACCTAGCTGGACATTCTCCACAAAAAAGTATTAACCTATCTATGCCGAAAAACCATTAGTTTAGGAGATATTTTAATTTCAAAATTACACACGATGTCTATCGACGTACTTGTGAATATCAACTTTAAGAAGGTAAACATCGTATTACTAGTACCACTTTGCTATTCTGAAATTAAAATATCTCTTAAACTAATAGTTTTTTTTGGTAATAAAGTGAGATGGACCACTCTGTATATGTATTTGCGGTTCATCGTTGTATTTTATTTTTTTATCTGTTTTACGTGAAACGTCCAGATCTCCTATTTCTGTAAATACGAGTTACGTATTTGAAATTTAGAATTGTTTTGGAGTTCGTGGATATTAGTAATTTTTGCATAATCTGTGAAAACAAGAAAATTAAATGCTATATTATTATAAGTCATTAATCTGTCATTCGTCATCATAAATTTATTACCGCAGTTTATTATTCATTAGAATTACATTCTGCTGAAAATTATTCTATAACTATGAGCATCCACCTCCATTTTTCACGATTACAATACATACTTAAAGTACACTTCAACTAAATAGGTTGTTTGAAATTCGACTAAATCGCTCGCACATCGTCACACGGCCGAGGTTTCCCGAGTTTTCACGAAGTCTCGCGAAATTCCGTCGCGCTCCTCGTTCCGAGAAATATCACGCGATTTCGCCGAAACCAATGTTGGCACGCACCTGTATCGCGCGATGACTCTCCGCCAATCACCGAATTGTGCAAAAAAAGACTCTCGGTGCTCGGGTATTGTCCTACGCCGAAAGCCCGCAGAACAGGAATAATACTGGTACTGTTCTTTCGCGACAATTTGCACGTGCCTCGCGTCGTTGTCATAAAGTTTCTATTGTTGCAAACAGCCAACATTTAAAGCACGCACATCGCATCAGAGTTCACGACTCTTTACTTTGTATAGTTTAATAAATGTTGTAAGTATTCTGTCACTTATTGTAACTTCTCGTGTGTTTTACTGGACTCGCGCAAGAGTCCTCCTTCAACCTCCACGCTCAGCGCTCAGCGATCTCAGCGATTTCATATCGGAATTTGCGGCTATCAAGCCCGTTTCGATACATAGGTGTTTTTTTATCAATCATTAACAAAACAGTTAATAGACTCTGATTGCTAACATACGAATGCGTCTGATCATAGAAGATGATCATGAGGTAATCGATGGTGGAAAATGATGGAAGGTGAAGAAATTTGAAAAATTTTCAAGAATTTACTTACCGACAAGCGGCACCATAAGCGTATAAATGGGTTGTACACCGGCAATCGCTTTCGCGATGTTCTGCAACTGCGGTAGATAGTCGATGAAGCAATTAGTGTCCGGTACCAGCTGCCTCGGTCTCACTTCGATTTCAACGGATACTGAAGACTTCTGCAGAATTTGCTGTAACATACAAGAAATCATTATATAGGTTTTTTGCTCTTTATTATGTACCCATTAGAGATCATTATCTACAAAAGGAAAAATTACTAAATCAAATTTACATATCTGGACCCCAGAGCCAGAGTGTCGATGGTAAAGATACTTCGTTCTAAATTGTTTAGTTTTTAATATAATAATGTAAAAATGATATTAAGTCCATATCTTGTTCCGAGTCAAACAGTCGAATGTCTTAATGTAATGTTCAACAACTTCTACATAAATCCACTCAATGGTTCGAAGGTAGCGACTATTTCTCGTTGAAACTTTGCCGAACGATTCCAAAGTTACAAGATTTCGGCACTTTTGATTTGCTCTCCTCTGAAGTTTGAAAAATGTGACTTAATACACCCTGGTTTTGGGGTCCAGATATACAGTATAAATATTATAGTTAATTCCTAAATAAATAGCACGTATGATATTACAGTATATGTAATGCATAACATCATATTACTAAAGGCGACAATTGACATAAATCATTGCATCATTACTAGAGTACTCGGGACGAAGTTTAAGGGGTCATGCTCAGTCAGGAGGCCGAAAAAAGAGTGTTCTTTGGGAATTTTTTTCTCGAAAACTATAAGAGCTTTTTCACAAAATGTGTTTGTGTTTCAAAGATTGCAGTTTATACATTATAAGGTAATTTTTTTATTTAAAAATATTTATTAGTAAAGAAATGGTAAGCGATCTCCCGGATGTCTCTTCACAAAAAGTGGTCTGCCGTGATCACTGTAACTTTGTAACGGTTCATCTGAAATTAAAAATTCAGTAAGATTTATGTAATGGAAGAACTAATGTTCTTGAACGTGGGGTTTTTCGAAATATTGATTAGGAACAAAATAGCGGACGTTTCCCTGAAAAAGTGCGATATTAATCTAAAAAATCACTCGTTTTTAGTCAATTGAAAAAAAAGTATGGAACGAACAAAAGAATCCTTCGTTCAAGGACAAGTTTTTCTGATTTGAAATAAGGCGCAAAAGGCTTCATGTAAATCGACACAGTAGTTTTCGAGAAATATTGATCACCGATTTGAAAAATGTAGTTTCGAAAAAAACGCGTTTAAAGTTTCAAGTCAAGCTTACACTTATATAAAATGTTCATTTTGTAACGCCTGTAACTCTGTCATTTTTAATTGGATTACCTTGAAACTTGCACAGAATATTCTCGAGATGTTGTACTTAAAGAAAATGTAAATAGTGAAAAATCTTTTGAAAATTTTTTGAAAATTTCTGACTGAGCATGACCCCTATTTTTAATCGTATATCGTCGGAATACATTATTTTATTTAACAACAAACGAGCACAAAAACATTCCGTTCAACTTGATAAATTAAATTAAACCAAATCTTTGGTTTTCTCCCGGCACTCATAGCGGGACCTATTTGTTCCGCGGATCGACCCAGGAGGACGCAGTATGCAACGGAAGAGACAATACAATTGAATCCCACGTATACACATGGGGCGCATGGTGGAACGACTGCGCACACTACGGAGAACAATGTCGACTCGGCGGCATAACGCGAATACCAAGTAGCTATTGTTACAGCGAAGGATACGAACGTAATGAGCCCTCTAATGTTACCCTTTGCCCGTGGGACGATGATCGATACACGACGGTAAATACTGTGATATATTGGTCCCCTCTAGCCTAGCGAATGAACTGCGCACAATGTGTACACATTGAAACGTTGGATTCTGTCATAAATAACTACAGCAGAACCGCGATTATCGGAAACTTCTAAATACTGATTGTTGGAGCACAGAACTAATGGACAAAGATAATAATGATTCATCTGTTTTTTATTGATGTATGAAATTATAGATCTCCTAAGTGAAATATCCCGAAAACCGTTTATCAGATTTGCTGAATTTGTCTCTCAAATACGCGTAACAATTAACCCTTTCAATGCAGCGGATCACTGTATTGTAGAAATCCGATCGAAAACTGCCAAGCAGTACAATCGTTCCTCTTTCGTTTCGTGTCGAAAAATATTGCTTCGTTACAACAATACTGTCAATACTAGCAGTTAGAATTGGATCATTGATTATGTAACATTTGGCAGTCCTGCGTTTAGAAGTTTGAAGTAGTTGTGTCTGACCATATAAAAGCAGATCAAGCAGCATTTTTCGACAAATAGTTAAGTACTAAGGATAATGAAACATTAGTAATAATTAAGTACTTATAATAACTAGACGTCAATACTAACTCAATATCAACATTAAAAGAAACACTTCGGACGAATAACAATTATTAAGTTTAATGATGGTAGAATATACAGGGCGTCATGGAATTGCTGGTACATCCGGGTAGATGGAGATTCTACATGAAAAAATAAGTCAAAAATATAAAATAAAAATTTTTCATTTGAGACTTCGTTTTTGAAATCATCGACTTTGAAAATCTGTTGAATACGCGTGCAATTGAATAGGACTTGGCTAGCGCGTCTGTTCATTGTATTCCGTTTCTACTTACTACCAGGACCACGTACATACGGTTTTAGATTAATTTTCAAATTCTATTTTCCCAAAAACAAAGTCTCCAAAGAAAAGATTTATGGCATATTTTCGACGTATTTTTTCACGTAGAATCACCCCCTACCCGGTTGTACCACCAGTTACATAGCACCCTCTAGTAATATTCACTGTAGAATGGTTCCTTGTAATTCTCGTAGGATTAGATTTTCGATTGTATGGACTTATAATCCACACAAATACACAGGAAGATTGTTACTAAAATTTATAAGAGTCTTTGTATTACTTCTTACACGAGAAAATTTCCACCGAAAGAAATAATTTAATAATTTACGTACGTGTGACTGCATCAATGAACGTATCAATCCGTATAAACATACGCTGTCTATGCACATAGAATAATTTAAAAACTACTAACAGAAATTAAAAGAACTCATTAGCACGTCACTAGTCGTTGTTCGAAGTGCCATGTGAAAAATTACTGCATAAAATGACTGTATAAAATTACTGCAATTTATCTAAGATAACGTCTTTTTCAATGTTGTGTAACTTTTATCATAAACGGTTTAATGTGACAGCTGCTTCTTGCGCGGATTTAACCACAATTCAATAATAAGTTAATTAATGTTTCGTTACCGCATGTGATCAGTTGATGTTATATTCAACCACTGAATGTGAGTTGGGTGTTTGGGGTCATATGATCCCTCTCTAATAGGATAAAATGATCCCAGGAATCATTTTACCCATATGCTATATTATTGTTTTTTGCTTTAGTTACAACCGGAGTGGGGCAGAATTTTATTCGAATAATACACAGTGAAAAGCAGCAGTATCTAAGAGTGTCGTTTTGAGCTTTAAACAGTTAATGAGATTAAATAATTGTTCGACAAATGTCGATTCATTCGTAAAGAAGTATTATTTTATTATAAAAATTGAAATTTCTATATTTAAACAACTAGAAATGACGAAATACTTTTTTTATCTTTTATTCGTTATTCGAAACGTTTATTCGAAAAACGCTAAATGAAGCTGTCGTTTATAATTAAGTGTCATCGCGTGCGCGCGGCGTAAATCACTATCGCGTAGACAACAGGATGCCCTCGGTGGATCACGTCGATTTCTGCGTAAATGAGGCTGCGACGCTCGCGCGTTAGCCAGTAATTAAAATCGCCGCGGTGACTTCTCACATGTGGCGGCGCGCATGCACGCACGAGAGTGCTTACAACCTTACCACTTCCTGCATTTAGATTAATAAAGATGCGTTTTAGATGAGTGTTCAAACCCAATTATCTAGAAAATACAACCTCAAAGGACAAAAATTTATTTTTCTTTTATATTCAATCGTCTATTTGTAACAATAAAACTTGAAGTATGGATCTTGAACTACAAATCATCATCCCTCAATCATGGATTATCAAGCTTAAACTATCAATTTGAACCATGACACACAGGAAACTATGGAAGTTCTTTAAGGTTAATGTCAAACAATACTTGCTCACGTTCGAAAGATGCTTTCATACTTCTTTACAAGCAACGTTAAGCTATACAGTAACTTCGCTGAAGGATTGAAGACACCTGCTCTAAAATATTCAAGTTGCCATCTTATGTATAATCATAATCACCTGCACCGACTGTTCCCTTTACTCACAGGACATAAAGTATCATACGCTAATGAATGAAAAGAAATATAATAACGGAAAGAGAAAATATTCTGTATCTATAACGTATTAATTAATATCAATTCTTTTGATCGATTTTCTTACATCAGAATCAAGTACTGAACAACTGACAGAGATGTATTTTAATTTTTCCTACAAATTTTTTTAATAACTTCAAATTAATACGATTTATGACTGTTTCGATTTAATCAATTCGAAATGCTAAGAAATTCGGTTGATATGTATGCCGATTCGATCTAAAATTAATTTAAATCCAGAGTACTGAATATAGCTGCACACCGTGAAAAGTAAAATTATTCACCGTGACGGGGAATGGAGTCTGCACGACGGTGCATAATGAACATCGTTAAAAATCGTCGCGCGCCGGCCTATTACGGATTCGTAGGTATTTCGAACGGCAGTGAATTCTGGAATGTTAGCTTTCTTTGAGCCCGCGACGCACACACGATACATGATAATTACCCGGGGACGAAGTTTTATCGAAACTGAACGCGTAGGAAATGGTAAAGGAGAAACGGTGACTTGCGTCTTTAGTGATCTTAATCTCAACAGAATCGCTAATAGCCTTACGAGAATACGTTAAGTCGGTGAGAAATAAATGGCTGACTACCATTCATGTCTGTAGACTGTTATAATTGTATATATTGAATTACTAAGTGTCTAAATGTTACTCATCTATTATTCATTTTAATTTTTTCATACAATGCATACTTTAAAAGTTATTCAGGATGAACAAGTTGCATGAACCACCCTGTATAACCCTTATTTGCAATGAACGACGTCGTCAGCCTACAAAAGTGGTAGTGGTGATCGC